CGCCATGGCGGGTTCTGGGCGGTCGCCGACTTTGCGCCGTGGCCGCCCGAGGTGCACTTTCGCTGCGACCCGGCGCACGACGACGATGACGGTGGTCACTGCAAGCGCTACGCGCCGTTGCCACCCAACCGCGGGTACTCGGCGCGGGTGCCGGACGATACGACCAAAGTGAGTCCGATGCTGCAGCTACTGCCGTGCCGCCAGGCCCTCGCCGGCTCCAAAGAAGAATTGTAAAAAAACGCGTTTTTAATTCCATGACGTGGCGAGTTCGTGGTCGCAAAAGGCGAGCACGACCAAGAGTGCGAAATGGTCGGACGCAAACGTCTCGTTGGGCAGCCATTCGTGGCTTCGTTTCGGGTTGGGAAGCTGGAAGACGCTGGGCGGCCACGCGCCCGCGTACTGGGGGTTGCGTTTGTCGCCAAGCGTGACACGGCTGTCCCAGTCACGAGGAATGTACGCAGCATAATCTATCTCGACATTTTGTTGTCGTGATAGAAGAAAACAATGTGACAATACCGGCGTCGACAATCGTAGGAGGCTCACGCACGTCATTGCCGACCAACGTGCCGAGTGACGGCAGTGTCAGCAACTGGAATGGCGCCAACTCCTACGCCATCAAGGGTGATGAACGAACTCGGCTCACTGTTTCGGCTTGGTACTTTTTTCGTGAAAAAGATGTAGTCGACCGTGCCGGTCCACGCTTCCGTGACGTACGTACACACGGGCTCGCCGCCGTAGCTGTAGCGGCCATACGCGCTCTCAAACACCTCGTAGTGCAGCAAGCCGTCTTCGCGGTCGCCGCGGAACTGCAGCGTCTCGTAGATAGCGTCATCGGGCTCGAGGCGGCTCGGGCGCGGACATTGCTGGTCCTGCACCGTACCATCGATGAAGCGGGGCGTCTTGCCCGAGCCGTACGACAGCTACGGCTCACACACTTTAGTCAACATGTCTCTGTCGAGCCAAATGCAAACCTTGAAAGGGTTGCTCAAATCGTCATTTTCGGCCGGGGGGACCACGGGGGGGCGGCCCCGCCACGCGTGATGACGGCCCTACCACCAGCGTCTACCCCTTCCTTTGGATAGAAGCAACGAGTCATACTTGAAGCGTCTGAAACGGAGCCGACGCCGGGCTGTACGCGCTCCAGCCAAACGCGTTTTTGGCCGCGACGCGAAACTCGTACTGCGTGCCCGCACTGAGCATGGTAATTTTGTGCGACGTGGCCACGTCGTCGAGCACGATTTCGTGCGAAAACCCGACAGTCGTGCTGCCGTTGACGCGGCGGTCCAGTCGATATGCGAGGACTGGACCGTCCTAGGCGCGTCATCTTGACTTTAAGTGGACCCATCGATGACGCACCACTGAAATGGGCGTCTCCCACGAAACAACGAGCGTGCTCGTCGTGGCGTCGCTCAGAACTGGTGGCGCCAAGCGCGTTGGGGGAGCCGGCGCTGGTCGCGCCCGCCCCGTGCGCATGACATGGTAGACGTCATCGCTTGGTCGGGCGTTGAACGAGCCGGCAACCACGACGGGCATTTGAAAGTCGGCATTGAACGCCTCGACTTGTGGAAGAAGGTATCGCAGCTGAAGGTCCCGCACAACGTCGTGGTCCCGATGACTTGCAAGCTGCACGTTGACTATCACCATGTTTCATACCATGCGTCTATCTGTCAAGTTTTGCAAAACACCGTACCAACACAGAGAGGGCTCGGAAAGGCACAGGTTTCCCACGGCTGCAACGCGACAAAGAGAGCGATGTTGTCTTGCTCGAGCTTGGCCGCGAGGTTCTCGCGGCGCGTCCGGGCCACGAGGTCGTTGAAATCCACGCGCTGCGTTCGAAAGACCTGAAAATTGAGGCGACGGAACGCAATGACGAGGCCGTCGTCATAGTCACCCGGTCGACGGTGGTACACGCTGTCGTAGCCGAGTGCGTTGAGCGCATGGATCCAGTACAGCTCGTAGTCGTCGACCTCCTACCACCAGAAATATGTCATCCTGGCGATACGGAGCATCAAAGGACCTGCAAGCATAAAACGTCGGCGTCGTACGCGGTAATCTCTCTACGCTCACGTTAAACCGATGTCAAAAGCGGTGGCGTCAAGCACGAACGCGAGGAGCTGGTCCTTGCGACGGGTGCTACCCAGAATGTACTCGGCGCAGTACGGCTTGTAATTGTTCGTGGCGTGCAGCTGGCGCATGAGGTTGTACGAGAGGACAGACACAGTCTCTTTCGTGGATAGCTCGTAGATGGCGCGGACGTCGTTCGACGCTGCGGCGAGCCGCCGGCCGCCGTACAGCGCGGGACCGTCGACCATTGGTTCCTGAAACGGCGTCAGTAACCTCCTTCACCTCCGGTCTCATCACTTTTTCGCAACAACCGAAATGGACAAGCCGATGACCGCGTCGCCATCCAAGGCGAGCGTTCGTGCGACGACGGCGCCGACACCACCGACGCGGAAGCTTGCGCCGACGGTAAAAGAGATCAAGGCCCGACTCCCGGACATTCCGCTCGACTTTTCGTTCATGAACCTCAACTCCATCCTCGGTGTGTCCTTTCTCAAAACAAACGCCTCTGATCTTCGCTATATGAGCAGACATTGTCAAGGAGGACCCGATATCGGGGCGGAAGCGACTCACGACCGACGACGCGGGCAAAGTGGTCGTATGTGACATCGCTTGCTACGACGAGCGATATTCACGTAGCTCTCTCTCTCGTAGCACAAGAAAACGGCGGCCAAAATCGTCGGCGGCGAGGCGTACACACCGCCCGTCTCGATTCGACTCAACGACAATGGCTTGACATCGATCGACGACCTCGACGCCGCGCTAAGTGGCGTGTTTGAAGACCCGACGCGCCTCCAGTGGATCGACCTCAGCGGCAACGCGATTGCGCAGCTTCCAAAGACTGTCTTTGCTCGTTACACGCAACTCTCGACCTTGCATCTGCATGCGAACAAGCTCTGCGCGTACGCCGACATTGACGCGCTCTTTTGCCTCGTGCATTTGCGCCAGCTCACGCTCCACGGCAACCCCGTGGACGAGAAGAAGCACTACCGCGTCTACACGATCTACCACATGCCGTCGCTCGTGCAGCTCGACTACAGCACCATCACGCAGTGCGAGCGCGAGCGGTCCGAGACGTGGGCCGTCACGTACCGCAAGCAGCTCGCGATACGAAGGGGCGAGCAGGTCGACGACATGTGAGAAGGATCAACAACTCTCGTCGTTGGAGGGTACCTAAGCACAGCATATACTACCTGATTTTCCTTGGCGACTCCGGCTCGTAGCAGCCCAGCAGTCGGGGCAGCGCTGGCATCTGGAATCATCTGGTCGCCGTGAATCGCGCTTTAACCTCTGTTTGTCCAGACGACATTGCAATCCTTCTCAAGCGCAACAAGAGCGTCCACTTGGATAGAGGACCCACATCAACAAAACCACATGTGGAAGTTGCGTTTACGACCTATGATAGGTAGATACTGCGATCTTGGCGGGTTAATCGTCTCTTCACGTGGCCGCACATGATTTCTTCAAGTGTCGATGTGCTAGGTGACGCGACGACTGCGGTGTTTGCATCCCGGGAGCTGCGCCGATTCGCCTTCCACTGCGACAGAGACCTTGCGAAGGACATTGTTACGCGAGCTTAGTCCGGCGCGGCTTTAGTCCCCCGCGCCGCCGCCTGCGCAGCCACGACCCGGCGAGCGAATGAAGAAGAAGAAGGAGATTGCTAGTCTCTACGTCTGCGAACTCTTTGGAACAACAAAGATGACGCAAATTGCCGCGGCCGTGACCTCGGCCCACACGTGATACCGAACGACAAGTGGCTCAGCTGGCTCGCTATGACGGTCGACGCCTTCAAGTTCGGCCCTGTGCCAAGCCCGACTCCCAAGCCGCCATGGCTGGTTCGACTCCACAAAGTTACCAAGCCGTTGACCCAGACGACGCCCGCCGA